CTGGCAAAAGGTGTTACTGATATTTCTTTGAGCCATCGGTGTGCTGGGCAGTGTGTGTGTGTGTGTGTGTGTGTGTGTGCGTGCGTGTAGGTGGGATCTTGGGGAGGTGGCAGTGTGTGTGTGTGTGTGTGTGGGGGATGATCGTGGGGACGTGGCAGAGTGTGTTTGTGTGTGTGGAGGTAGAGTCATGGGGACGTGGCAGAGTGTGTGTGTGTGTGTATGTGTGTGTAGGCAGGGTCTTGGGGAGGTAGGCAGTATGTGTGTGTGTGTGTGTGTGGAGGCGGGGTCGTGGGCAGTGGCCAGGGTGGGAGGAAGCAGTCAGGGAGAGGGAAGAACAACACTAGGAGCCCGGTCGTATTTTGTGAAGTGTTAAGTGCCAGTTTTTGTTAGGTGGCCTGAACCTTTGCCAGACGCTCTGGACGGTCCAGCAGAAGAAACCCAGCCCCCTGCCCCCAAGGTGCCCACCACTGGTGAGGACATGAATCTGCCACAGGGGAGACCACCGACCAGCCGTGACGGGCAGGGTCCCATGAGGTGTCAGAAGGTGTGGCCTGGACGTCAGGGCGGGAGGGACACAGAGAAGGGAGGTCAGGGGAAGTTTGAGGAGGAGGACGCTTTGGGCTGGAGTGACCGTGGGCCTGCTGGGTCTTGAACGGCAGGCGGCCCACCTGCTGTTGAGCTGAGGGCACGCAGTCCAGCNTGACAGAGGATGAGATGGCTGGATGGCATCACCGACTTGATGGACATGAGTTTGAGTAAACTCCGGGAGTTGGTGATGGACAGGGAGGCCTGGCGTGCTGCGATTCATGGGTTTGCAAAGAGTCGGACACGACTGAGCGACTGAACTATGTGCCAGGTGGTGTTGTAGGTACTCAATACAAGGGCTTCCCTAGTGGCTCAGTGGTAAAAAACACATCCGCCAATGCAGGAGACCTGGGTTTAATCCCTGGGTTGGGAGGATCCCTGAAGAAGGAAATGCAACCCATTTGAGTTTTTTTGCTTGGGAAGTCCCATGGACAGAGGAGCTTGGCGGGCTATAGTCCATGGGGTTGAAAAGAGTTGGTCATGACTTAGGGACTAAACAACAGTAAATGGAATACAGCAGAAAACCAAGATGTTCTCCTGAAGCTTACATTTAACTAGGGCTTAAGTAACTGAACAATACACAATGTTTCAGTGATGGTAAGTAAATTCTTTGGAGAAAGCAGAGCTGTGTAAAGGGTGGAGAGAGAGTCAGTGACAGGGACCTTCTTTTCCTGTTTTCAGGATTAGTTTGCTGAAGCAGGCATTCAGGGGAAGTGTCAACAAGTTCCTCCTTGTCTTTGTCATCCAGGAGACACTGTTGCTAGAAAGATCCCACACCCTGCCTGCTCCACCATCCCTGCTTAACACAGATGCTCGCAAATAGGTCTTTGGCTCTGCCTGGTGTTCCAGCTTGCTGATCAATGATTTCTTTCAAGATAACTCTGGTGGTGTTGCAAATACATTTAAGGTGACACGTGAGATTTGCAGACACTGCACATTCCCTGAAGTTCAGAGAAGTGCTGACAAGCTGTAAAGGAAAAAACAAATTGCATTCTCTTCTCGCTGAGCCAGGAATGTTTTTGCTTGTGTTTTATTTGTTTTGGGATTTTTGTTTTGGCTTATTTGGGGCTGTAGGTTCTGAGGTAAAAATGAGGTTGTGTTCTGGATAGTTTCCAAAATCTTTGTTTTTATCCCCCCTCATATACCCCCATATGCCCATAGGCAGATTTTCTTCATCTGCAGAATGGGAATGAGTGATTTGTTTATCTCAAAGATGAAAACCAGAAATAAAGGCTGAACACCTTGGGGACTATGGTAGAAAGAGGTGTGATTTGGTGAAAGTGAAACTTGGATTGACCTGGGAGTTGAGTTAGTGGCACAGAGCCTGACTTGCACCTAAAACATTACACTGGTATCAACTGAGAGTCTTTCAAATGTATGGACAAGAAGTGTTTTTAATGATTCTGTCAGCATTCTTTTTTGCTTGATTGGATCAAAATGATAGGAATGGAAGGATAAAGATGTTGGAAAGTGGGCCACCTCCTCCGTCTCATGCAATTATTGCCTAGGAAGCCCTTGGAATGGAATTATACTACCATTGTGTCTGCTATGAAAATATAGAGCTAAAATTCTTATAGTGGCATACATATTACCACGGATTCCCTGAAAACTTGAAATCGTGGAGACAGTTGACTCTTCCCAAGCTGCTGTCAGACACTTGAGGGTCCATTAATGTCTTAGGCCTTTTAGTATTTAGTCATTGTTTTGTAATAGGCATGAACTATTGATAACATTTTATATAATTTCAAGATACCTTTATTATGGTAAGGAAAAGTTTTGGGCAGAGAGAAGCTTAGGTCTTTGAAAAGTTAATGCTTAGCATTGATAACTATTTGAAATGTACCACACTGAATAAAGGGCTTCCCAGGTGGCACTAGTGGTAAAGAACCCGCCTGCCAGTGCAGGAGACATGAGAGACATGAGTTCGATTCCTGG